AAAAATACATAGAAAATATATATTGGGTAGTCGAAAAAGTCTTTTCGTATCTTATCTATAAATGTCATTGCAGTCGTATATCTCCTTGGCTATCAATCACATTGTGTCATGCTATATAATATTGGAAAGGTGAGATTTTAAGCTTCATTTAACCAAAAAAAATAAATAAATCCGGGGAAGTTGAAAAAAGGTTACATTTGTTCAAAAGTGACTGAAAATAACGAAGAATTTCGCTATATTTTGAAATTTTTATATAAAAAAGGGAAGAATGCCACGCAAGCCATCAATGAAATTTGTGAGGATTACGGAGACGATGCTGTTCGATCAGTTGGTGTAGCACAACAATGGTTCGCTCGCTTTCGTACTGGAAATTTCGATGTGGAAGATGCACTTCGCTCTGGTCGACCTATCGTTGAAAAAGTCGATGAAATTATGGAAAAGATTGACTAGGGCCGTCACATAAGCAGCCATTACATCGGTAAGGAACTTGAGATTCACCATCAAACGGTTTTGAACCGTTTAAAAAAGGTTGGCTAAAAAAGAAATTATTTGTTTGGGTACCGCATGAACTGTCTGTGAAAAATTTAATGGACCGAATTGACGTCTGGGATTCTTTGCTGAAAAGAAATGAAATCGAATCATTTCTGAAGCGAATGGTAACAAGAGACGAAAATTGGATCATATGCGAGAATGATGTGAGAAAAATATCATGGTCCAAGCATGGTGAAGCTCCACAAAAGGACGCAAAGCTAGGATTGACGCCTCGAAAGTTTATGCTGAGTGTTTGTTGGGATTGGGAAGGAATCATCCACTATGAGCTGCTCCAACCTGGTCGAACGATTGATTCTAAGTTTTACTGTCAACAACTGATGAGATTGAAGCAAGCAATTGAAAAAAACGGTCATAATCGATCAACAGAAAGGGCTTCGTCTTCCACCAAGACAACGCTAAATCACACACCTCTTTCGTGACTCGGTAAAAATTGGGAGAGCTTGGCTAGGAAGTTTTGATGTATTCACCATATAGCCATGAATCTGCACCATCGGACTACCATTTGTTTCGGTCAATGCAGAGATGCTTAACGAAGTAAAGTTGGCTTCAAAAGAAGCCTGTGAAAATGACTTGGCGCAGCTTTACATCGAGCAAACATAAAATTTGTACAGTGATGGAATAATATCTCTAGCGGAAAAATGACAAAAAGTGGTCGACCAAAATTGTACACATTTAGTTCTTTAAAGTACAAAAAAATAAGTTGAAGTTTGATTAGAAATACGAAAAGACTTTTCGACTACCCAATATTACGGAAGGATAAAGAAATATTTGCCTAGAATAAGGCGGAATAAGAGTCAAAAATTTTACAAATTAATACAAAAAAAAAAAATTGGAAAATATTCATTCTTAAAAAACAAAAAACAAATTATAAAAAAAAAAACTTATCTTTCAGAAATATTTGGAAATTTTATGACATTAAATGCTATAACTTCATGTAATCGTGAATCAACACAAAACGTTGCATTTCTATTTAAAGYTGTCGTCCCTAATTTCCGCAAAGCTTGGTGGCGCTACAACAGCTAACTTCGCACGCAATTGACTTGAATGACAATGAGACATTAATTGCCTGTGATTTCGATTCACCTTCGCCGAGCATGAGTGAACTGATGATATGACGCGTGCTAGGCGGGTACGCCGTAAATACGCGTAAGTACCGCTAAACACTAACTGACTGCTTATCTAAGTAGGTAGCCACCATAAGCAACATAAAAGCATATAAAAAAAGGCGAGAATGTGTGTGTGCGTCACTGAGCTGGTTTAGAAGCCAGAATGGCAACACGGAAGTGGAGCAATTGTCACATAAATAGAAGCCTTACTAGCGGTTACCAACCGATAAATTCGCATTTCAGCGCGCATGCGTATCTACAAATATATTTATGTAATGCTTGAAAGGCGCTTTGCTARTCATTAAGTATGGATTCATGCCACCGGATATGCCGGTAAGCATATAGTATATGTGGTATGGTCACACACTACACCCGATTCACCAATGCACCAATACTCACCGCTAGGCGTGCACCTTTTGTGCATGTTTTTTTGTCACTTTTTAGCTATCAACTATCACTTTTGGCGTATTTCATTTTGTTATGCGTAACTAATGAATATGTAWGACTAAATATGTGCGTTTGTGCGCATTCATACATATTAATGTCAGTGTGCATTTGTTGAAYTTTTGCGATTGCAACCAATGAAATTTAATATAGTTGTTCTTCGTGCTGATTGGTTACGCCAGTCATACGCATGGATTAGTTGGCACAGTGGTCTGATACAGGTAAATAATGTATGCTTCACATATATGCGAAATTCTTTTTTAGCAAAGATTTGTAAAAAGTTTTTGTTATTGTATATATTGAAGTTTTTTAAACAAAAAT